TGGGTCTATGCGTAGCGCTCGAGTTTCAGCGCCTCCAGCCGAGCGCTAGCTCGGCGTCCATAAAGCTCTTTCTCCTCGTCGTCGACAATGCTCGTGCGCGCACCGCGCGCGGACGCGCATGAACGCGTTTTTCTCTGTTTTCTTTGTCTCGGTTCACTATGATATATAGACCTCACCCTCACTGTTCTCTCTTCATCTCCTCTCTCACCCGTGTGCTCGAAAGGTAGCTACCTACTGTATCCCCGTCCATCTCCTCTCTCACCCGTGTGCTCGAAAGTCCCGTCGACTTCGAGTGCTTCCTGTTTTTTTGCAGAATTACGGCACCACGCCGACGCGAACAGCCTCAACGCGGCCCCGACGGTCGTTTCCTTCCGCGCCACCCCACTCCCCTTTCTGAGAACATGGCTGGTCCCGAAGACGTCCCCAATGCTCAAGCTACACCGCCATCCAATGGACAGTCGGGGATCGCCTCAGCGGGCCCTTCCTCAGCTCCGGGTACATCTGCTGGAGTAGAACCGGCTGCCAGTGCCACCCCGCCAGTTGCGCCACTGTCCTTCACGTCTGAGCAAGTCGCATTCCTACTCAGTGGTGCATTCGGACCCCAAGTTGCGGCCTCTGTAGCGTCTGGGGGTGCCCCATCTGCTCCAATTACCTCGGCCTCGTTCCTGCAGTTTGTGCCACCCGCCAACGTCCCTTCTCCTGCTGGTGCGTCCCTCATCAAACTCTTCCCCCATGTCGAGGCAAGCGTGCTTTTGGAGATCGCACGCCATGAGTTTAAGCCATCGGACCTGAACAAGCTGGACTCCAAGTACCGCGACCGCAATGCACGGTCCGTACTCGAGTTCGATGCAGGAGTCGGAGGCTTCACCATCCGCGAACCCTCTGCGAAAGACTACCCATCCCTCCATTCCATCTTCGCCCCCCTCACGACGTACTTTCACGTCCTCACAATGTTTGCGGCCTCCAGCGGCAGCATTGCAGCCGTATGCCAAGTTGCGAGTGGCTCGTACGCGTACATCTCGCAGCTCGAGCAGTTCAATGAAGACTACCAGTGGTCCGCCGTGCTGGCGTACCACATGGACTTTCACTACAAGCGACGGAGCTTTATGGCCGATGGCGACTACTCCGGCTGGGACATCATCGACCCCGGCCTTCAAGCCAGGCACCTCATCGGGAAGGAACGCCCTCGTGTTGCAGCTGCAGCACGCAGCGGTCATTCGTCGAAGGTAGCCACTACGGGCAGTGGCTCACCCTCGACAGACGTCTGCAGGCTCTTCAACAAAGGAGTCTGCGCATCCCCCTGTCGCTACAAGCGCGTGCACAAGTGCTCAGGCTGCAACGCCACTGACCACGGGCAGCACAGCTGTTCAAAGGCAGCAGCCGCCACCTGAGGCACCGGTAGGACGTGCGGCCACCCCGCGCCTTCATCCGCCGCTCGTCCTTGCCTCCAGGATGCGGCGTCTTTGGTCACCCCCGTCAACAAGCTTCCCTCGCTCGCCCCACTCCCTCACGCTCATCTCTTCCCGCCTGGCCCGCCCCCTCCTGCTCGGCCCAACACTGATCCTCGCTGCAACTCCCATCTCCTACGCTTGGATGATCATCACTCTGCGGTGTCATCCCTGCGGCGTGATGCATGGGCATCTCATCTCGCCGACTATCCCGACCCTCACTTTGTATCCTCGCTACTTCACATAATAGATCATGGCGCTGCACTTGGCTTCATGGGTCCGCCTAAAGCCCAAGACTGTCATAATCTCATCACTGCTCGTGAGCATCCTGCAACTGTCTCTGCTGACATTGCCGCTCTACTGCCCCGCAGACGGATCCACGGTCCGTTCATGTCTCCCCCGCTGGAACACTTCCGCAGCTCCCCCATTGGAGTTGTCTCGCGCCCGCGCAACCCCGCGAAACTTCGCGTCATCCATCACCTCTCCTGGCCGCACGGCGACTCTGTCAACGACGGCATTCCTGACTCCGAGAGTCATATCTCTTATGAATCCTTCGACTCCGCTGTCGCTGCGATTCGTCGCCTTGGTCCCGGCACATTGCTGGCCAAGCTTGACCTCAAGGACGCCTTCCGTCAGATCCCCGTACGTCACCAGGACTGGCCGCTGCTTGGTTGCCACTGGCTCGGCGAGTTCTACTATCACGTCGTCCTCGTGTTTGGTGCAAAGTCTGCACCATACATCTTCAATCTCTTTGCGGAAGCTCTCCACTGGATAATCTCCCGACATATCCCTGCAACAATGCGTCATTACCTCGACGACTTCCTTCCCATCTTCGCACCGCCCACTCCTCCGCCGCTCGCCCGTGCAGCAGTCGAGTGGATCATGGGCCTAGGCTCCCAGCTGGGACTCGAGTTTCAAGGGACCAAGACTATCTTCCCGTGCACTGCGCTCGAATTTCTTGGTCTAGAGCTCGACACTGTCGCCATGGAAGCTCGCATGCCAGCCGACAAACTTGCCTGGTTAGGAGACCTGCTCGCTACCTGGCGTGCAAAGCATTCCTGCCGCCTGCGCGAGTTGCAGGCCCTCATCGGATTCTTGCAGTTCGCAGCGCAGGTCATCCCTCATGCTCGTGCATTCATCCGTCGACTCATCGACTTCTCCGCTACATTCCGCTCTGGGTTTGCTGTGCGTCACATCCCATCCTACGCACACAGCGACATCCACTGGTGGAGCGTCTTCCACTCCACATGGAATGGTGTGCGCCTGATCACCCCGTCGCGTCCCACCATACACGTCTTCACGGATGCTAGTGGCTCTGAGTCCAAAGGCATCGGAGGCGTCTTCCAATCAGCCTGGTTCGCATCTCGGGTTCCCCGTCGATTTCGCAAGCACGATATCCAGTTCAAGGAAATATATGCTGCACTTCAGGCGACCATGCGCTGGGGCACCCTCTGGTCTGGCCATCACGTCGTCTTTCATATCGACAACCAAGTCATTGTGGATGCCATTGAGACTGACCGCAATCGCTCTCGCACGACCATGTCCGTGCTGCGAACCCTTCTCATGATAGCCGCTTGCCTCGACTTCTCATTCTCATCGGTCTGGTTGCCATCTAAAGAGAACGCGCTCGCTGACGCTGCCTCTCGCTTCCAGTACACCAGGCTGTTCCAGCTGGCACCTCACTTGCCCCCGAAACCATCCTCGCCGCTCCCCCAGCTCATTGGTATGAGACGCACGCTCAGTACTCTCGACAAGTCGCCTTCTATCTCTGGCACGGCCTTGCCGCAAGCACCCGGAAGACCTACTCGACTGGGCAGAAGTCATTCATCGACTTCGTCCAGCTCCGCCCTACCCTCCTCAACCCCGATGGCACCTTCCTGCCCGCATCCCAGCGAGCCGTCATGGAATGGGTCGCCCATCTCGGAGCTCGGAGCCTTCAGCCCAAGACGATTAAGTCCTACCTCACAGGAGTTCGTTCCTTGCATGTCGACGCTGACCTCCCTTGGACTGCATGCGAGTCCCTTGTCATCCAACGGCTCATCCGCGGGATCAAGCGATATCACGGAGAACGCGAACGCAACCCGAAGCTCCCAATCACAATTGACCTACTCCGCCGTCTCTGCTCCTCCCTGCGGGACGATCTTGTCTTTGATGTCACATTCCGGGCCGCCATCACCTTAGCCTTTGCCGGCTTCTTACGGTGCGGCGAGTTCACAGTCGACAAGCCCTCCGCGTACAAGGCAGATATCCACCTCTCCCGTGGATGTGTCCAATTTCTGCCTGATACATCTGCGCCCACCCATCTCATCCTCTCCCTTCCCGCCTCTAAAACCGACCCTTTCCGGAAAGGTGTCTCAATTCTCATCGCCGCCGCCCCGGACACAGTGACTTGTCCAGTCACCGCTATGCGGCGCTTCTTCGAGCTCAACCCTCGCCCTCATTCCCCCCCTCTCTTCTCTGCCCTCGACGATGCCGCCGCCCCTCTTGTGCGCTCGCAGTTTGTCGCTCAGCTCAAATCACGGCTTACAGCTCTTGGTCTCGACGGGGCCAAGTACTCGGGCCACAGCTTTCGCCGTGGAGCTGCGACATCAGCGGCTGCATCAGCAAAATGCCCAATCTCCTTATTTCTACTTTCGGCCTTGAATAAGGAGGAAAAAGACGCTAATGCACGCTCAGGAGATTTAATGCATACTAAGACGTCAAAATGCGTCAAGGCACTCTCGTCCTCTTAGCGTAAGGTGACCAGAAAGGACGCAAATGGACGTAAGACACACTAAGTAACCATAAGGGCCTAAAGGGTGCCCAGTGTTGGAGCTCTGGGTACGCCGGTAGCACGTTATTCTCTCGGCTCATATACGCATCTAGGATGCTCATTCCACTGTCTGTAGGTGTGTGTGCATGTACTCAACTCACCAAATAGACCGTCCGCTGTCTGACGTCTATGATATACACGTTGGTGGTAATATTACGAAGGATTAGCACGCGCAACGTACCTTCAGTCCGTACGGTCACCCAGCGATATGAATGGGCACCTACCTGATGATTTTTCCAGTTCCGCCCTTCGCCGGTTGAACTCTACCGTTTCTCACCTTCTACCATGATTGCCTTCCCTCTAAGAAGGCCCTCGAGGGCGCTGGAGGCGTCGGGGCAGGTGGAGACGAGGCGGACAGTGCGAAATTTAAAGGTGAACGAGGCGTTGGTCAAGGTGCACGGCAACCATGATGGCAGATGGGGAGCGTGTGAGATGGGAAGCAGAGGAGGCCGCAGGCGGCACGAAGGTTCGACGGTGGAGGAATCATACCAAGAGGAGGGCAGGAGGGAATTTAAGGCGCGAGGAGGCGTTTCAGGAAGGAGGACGGAGGCTGCAGGCGGCGCGAGGGTTCGAGGGTTGTGACGAGCAGGCGTTGGAGCAGTAGAGGGCGAATTCGGCCGACGGTGAGCTTATTGGATGCGATGTATTGGACGCGGCAGGCGACAGGTGGCATGAGGGTAAGACGTCGAGGAGATGTTGCAGGAGGGCAGTTGGGGAGCATGAACGGCGCGAGGAAGCATTTGCAAGGTCAAAGGACACCAACAGCGCGAGGATTCGACGGCAGAGCCAGCAAGCGGCGCAAGATTACAAGGGTCAAGGCCAGCGCGGTTGAGGTCCATGTAGCGGATGGGAGAGGTAGCTCAAGAGGGTGACTGCGCGGCGAAGCAAGCGATTTTTGATGTGGCCGAAGTGAAGACTGTCTCGGAGGGCGCCGTTCTCATCCTACTACGGTATACGTTTACCTTGAGCAACATGGTGCGACTGGAGTCATACTCTTCCTCTGGGCATATTCCTGAGAGTCGAGGCGACCCGCAGTCCATAAGTGGTAACATGATACTCACCTCAGGACCGGCCGCCGAAGATCCATGTTACGGTGCGCAGTCTGTTCAGATTGAGTCGTGCCGAGCACCGTGCAAGTGCACTTGGTCCTCAGTGCCGCATGCTTAGTATCGTCCCTCAAGGAGCATGTACAGACGATCTGTGCAAGTGCACGTGGAGCTTGGCACGATTATCTTGCACTCGATGCGTCAGGAGGTGTAACAGGAACAAGCTTTGTCAAACAGAGCAGGAGAGGCGACGAAGCGGGAGAGGAGATGGAGCGGGAGGCGACAGAGCGAAAGAGGCGCCAGAGCGGGAGAGACGACAGAACGAGAAAGGCGACGAAGGGGGTGAGGCGACAGAGTGAGAGAGGAACTGCAAGAGGCGTCGTAGGGAGGGCAAGTGGCGTGAAGAGCTGTGGAGAGGAGGGGGTCGTCAGCAGACGCAATGAACGAGGTACAGAGTAGTTCAGATAGTAAAAGTCGCAGCACACGAGATAGATCGCAAGGCGTCGACTTTTTGAAGACCTCTACCGCATAGACTTCAGACTGTGAAACTATCAGTAGAGGGTTTCGATACATAGCAGAATGGATATAGGTTTACAACGCCCGAAATATCATGGCACAACTCACCAGCGTGAATATATATGTGCTGAAGCGACCTTTAGTTAACTCCGGACGTGAACAGAGGCGCGAGGGCTTGATTAGATCGAAGGCGGCATGATAAGCACACATCGACGCTCGTCTCATTGTGGAGGTGGAGGTGGTCGTAGAGGCGGGAGGGAGAGAGCCAGGGCGAGGGCGAGGGCGAGGGCGGCGAGCTGAGCACTGCGAATATGTGCTCGTCTCATTGCTGCATGCTCGTGGTCGGGAACGGTCAATGAATTCGCCTCAAAAATGGCGGTGATCGAGCGACTAGATACCGCGGTGATTGAGCGACTAGATATTGCGGGGATTGTAGGAGGGGAAGAGACGGCGGGGGTGATATTGAAGCCATAATGGATATCGTCAATTATGTCCTCGACGGCTGCTGCACTTACTCGTGGGACGGCTGGCACTCATCCGTACATACGCGATGTCCAGTGCGGGTCCTGAGTGCCACTAGATGTACGCAGACGCAGGTATGCTGATGGGGAGCGACAGCCCAATGGGCGGGCACGAGACGAGGGACGGTATCCGTGAATACCCGGGACATGATGTAGTTCCAATGCGAGAATGACAGCACTAAAACAGTGAAAAATTAGTGGTTCAGCAGGCGTCATAGTCACTCACATACTGTTGTGCTCAGCGTCATAACCATGAGTCACTTGGCCTACCGCTCGCTTGCCCGCATCCATTCGACTCGTCACAAGCTGCTACGTCGCATGCCGGTGTACCAGCTTCACAGACATCAGCGCACGCTATATGCATTATCCGCGCTCACCTAAACACGAGAGTATGCGAAGAGTTTTGATTAGTATCCTCAGCCAGTACGGGCACGCTGTGGTATGACGTGGCACTGGTTTGCGGCTCGAGGGGAGTGGAGATCGCATGTGCATGTACTTGAGTATCAAGACGCGTCACGCACCTTCGTATGTTTCGTTCCGTGTGAGATGCTGCTTGATATCTTGCGGCACCGGATGCCCCAGTCGTGGGTCATGATGGGTTGAGAGCAAAACCTGGTTCGGCGCTACACACCCTGAGTACTCTCGCTTCCGCCGCTGCTCGGTAGCGCCAAGGTAGATTATCGTGAAGGCACTGACTCGCAGAATTCTAGGCCCAACAGTATGCGGAGTACTTCGTAATAATTCTGAGGAAGTAGGGACAAGTACGCCATCATTTCTAATGTATGTAGCGTAGTCGGGAACTTGAAGGCTGTAGCGTGAGCTTGACTCGGAAACTCGAGAAGTGAAACGAGCAGTGAATGAAGCCAAACTAGAAGTACGAGGTAATTTACAAAAAACAAGATAGCGACAATCAGGTAGCAGGGTATGGTTGGTGAAGAATCTCGAAAGCATGATGGTCGACATACTTGTTGACATAGAACGAGGTGAAATGGTCTAAGGACTGGTGACTCTGTAACTCTTCTGGGGTTTCTGTGCGTGAGCTGACTCCAATGAGGTGAGCGGCACGTACGATGACGTCGAGATGTATGATGGAAATAACCCGAATGTGATTTCTTCCTATACCCGTGAAGGTTGGCCGCACGATCCACATCCCGGTGTCCTTGTCGGGCTCATCGAAGCTCCGGTGGAACCAGTGGACGACAGCGCAGGGATAGAACCTTCCCATGTGCTTGATGCGAAGGAAAACAAGAATGCGGGCTACGTCCATCCCTAGCAGCCCCGGCTTCTCATTCCGCTTATTGACCAAGACGCAGTCAAATCGAGCGGGACCACCGCGCCAGCTAGGTGCGGCACGCACAATCTCCCGGTGCATTCCTCCGATGCCCGATGGATCGCTCGGCGCGTAGTAGGTTGCAGCGGCAGAGTAATAAACCGCAAGGGACTTTTCCTCCTCGGAAAATGGGGGGCAGAGGTCCAAGGGAAGCTCGGAACCGCTGATATCGCCATTAGGGTGGAGTTGGTGGTAGAGAAAACGTCTGATATATTCCTGCAGCTTGGGTATCTTGAAGTCGCGTGCGATGGTGCATATTGTCTTTCCATGTTGACGCTCTGCACATCATGTCTTGTTAGAAGGTGTCACAGTGTCCGGTAGATTTTCATCGGAAATGACTTACGAGGTGTTGCAGCCATGGCCATGTACGATGTGACCGTTGGACCATCGACCGCACCCTCTTCCTCATTTGGATCCGTATCGCGCGGGTGCTGTGGGGGCGATACGTCTCCGTCAGACTCTGAAGAAGAGTCATCTGCGTGTTCCAATACCGATAAGCCATCATCGCGTGCTATATATACTAATAGGCAACTTGAGACATACCGTTAAGCCCCAATTCCCTCCGAGCAGCTCTCAAAGGGCTTTCTTTCAGCATCCCACGCTCCTTGAAGTCCACACGAGCCGCTGCAAGCTTGTCTAGACGCTGGTTCGTTAGCAACATCTGCTCAAGAGCCTCATAGCGGTTTGAACGCCTCCAAGGTTCTTTGACTGCTTTGATGTGCTTCGATTCCGTGATGGAAGAGCAGAGGCCGTTCGGTGCTGCAAAGTCCCAGATGCGGTCCACATAGTGCATGAGGGAGTGTTGTCTGGGAAGGGAGAAGTGCTCGCGGACATCTGTTTCGCGGAAGACCTCGCGGTTTTGATGGAAAGCAGCAAGAGCGCGCTCGATGTCGGCGATGGTTTCATCCTCAAGCTCTTCACGACGAGCGAGGTAGCAGAAGTCAAGGAAGTTCCGAATAGAACGTATCACTTCTGCTGGAACGAGCCCGTCGATAGCTGGAAGATAGACCTGAAGAATTTATCTCCTTTAACGACGGTGGCCAGATAGTTCATCCAGATAAGTATACCTTCATCAAAGCCTTCGAATCGTCCCCTGTCCATTGTTTGAATCCCCTGCCTTCATGGAAATGCCTCAGCTTCGAAAACGGAGGAACAACTGCAATACTTGATGGCACAGGGTCAAATTAGATCATACGTGCTGATTCGGAAACATTCCCATGTCGCGTGCGTACCGACGGTCGACCTCGGCGAGGATCTCCTTCATCCTTGTCTCCCCGTGTGTAATCTTCAGGTACCTCTCGACCCAGGTTACAAGATGATCCTTGAATGCGCCTTTAATCAACTGGTGCAGGATGTCGGGTGATATCAGGGCATGGATGTCAGCCCTAGGGAAATCATTTGTGAAAGGCTATTGATATCAAGCATGAGCGACGTGTAATCGTTACCGCTCTACTATTACACGCTCACCACGACATCTCCAACAATTCCATAACTATACCAAAGATCTCCTAGCTCGTATTCCCGAACTAGATGTTCCGTGTGTTCTCGGGTCCTCAAGAGGCGATCTTTACTGTCGAGGTCCCCCGATGGCGCAGTACAGCTACATCACAAACTTGTTAGTATCCTCAGGGTCCAGTGGTGATAATACGAAGATGTCTGATTCTGCTTACATGGCGCACCAGCCTTGTACAATACAGGCTACGAGAGCTTGTTCCGGATAGTCTGCAATGTAAGGGCCAATACTGTATACGACCTTTCGGAAATGACCGTCTCCACAGCGGACTATCTCTGGCGTCTCCATCCAAGGACGAAGAGTGCTTAAGATGCGTGAAAGGGAACTGTGGAAAAGTTGCCGGCGGAATTTGGTGAACAACATGTCATTGTTGTCGCGTTTATTAGCTATACATCAGCGGCCAAAATATCAGTATCAGCGTGAAGCACAGGGGATTTGATTGCGCACTCTTGGGAATCGCCAGAAATGCAATAACCGCGACCGCATTCCTGTGGGCACGCCGCACGTTGTTGTGTACGTTCCCAATCGAGATGTAGAGTGGATAGTACTCGTTCTGTCCTGTCGCCACAGAAACCGTCGTTTTGTCGCTACCGAGGATTATAGGAACGAGCGCAGCATTAGCGCATCCGGGCAGCTCAGCTATGGCATCCTGTGTGTGGTAGATAGTGAGCTGATGAACTGGTAATGGTTAGAAGGCACTGGCTGCTTCACGTACAGCTTGATTCCATGCCCACTCGCCTCCCATGAAGTTACGAAGCCGACGTGTTGAGTCTGGGCCGAATTCTCGCAGCGGAGCGAAGTCAATCTCGTCCTTGAAGTCGGGGTTTGACAGCATGTTGTGGGCAATCTCGAGAGGATCCCTGAAAAAGACCGAGTGTTTGTCCTTCATCCAAGGAAGTACGTCCGAATCATTATCGGGAAGGGGTCCGCTGTAGGTGATATCGAAACTTTGCCACCTGACGCCCCCGAGTGGTGTGTCGTCAATAGTCTCGTATAGATCTGCGTGGTTGTGGAATGGAGGAGTAGTGTTGAACCTGGCCAGCGATGCCGCCCACAACTCAAGAATGGAGTCGATGTTCCCCGCAGGCATCTGTTCCTTTGTATACAAAAGGTCGGCGAGCTCAAACGCCACGCGGTCCTCGTAGGGGGACCAGTCATCTTCATTCCGGGTCACCGCTGCAGGAGGGTCGGCATTTGAAGGAAGCATATTTCCTTCGCGGTTTACGGGTCTCCCTGTAGGATTGAGAGTCAGTGATCTATCAGTTTACGATCATGCGGTACATATTTGCGAAGATTATTCACCGCTGATGATAGGGTGGTACATGTAAGTACGGCCCGTGAAGATGTTCTTGAAAGGCAACGACCTTACACCCTCATCATGCTCGTCCTCACCATCGCCGCCGGCCTCGCCAAGACCTTCCTCATTTTCTGCGGAAGATTCTTCACTTCGATCTCTGCCTGCGCGGCCATCCTCCAGTAGAGAGACTTCTTCCTCTTGGTGAGGCTCGAACTCGTCGTTGTTGCGATCCTGGGGGTCATTCTGGGAGATATCGTCTTCGTCGCGGGCACCTTCATCTCCATAATGATGATGTATATCCCAATGGTCCGCGTGATATAGTCTGTCCACGCGTGACGCAGAAGTGTCGGCTACTCCAGGCACTTGCCCCTCCTGCAGGGAATGGGGGGATGCTATATAGAAATTGAACGGCACACCCTTGGCTGCAAAGCCGGATACTACTTACCTGCAGGCCCATCAAGTTCGCTGCCATCACTCTGACGGGATTTGGTCATACCGTGCTCGTTCTCGTCGGACGAAATCTCCCCGGGCTCTGAGAACCCTTGGGAAATGTCCATAGCATCATGAGACACTGCGATTTGGTCGCTTATTTATGAGAGACTGGTTAGAAAGCTCGTAGCAACGAGCCTAGATTTAGAGAATCCATACCTAACATGATCTTGGTCGACTTCATCCTCTTCGCCTTCATTGTCTGAGTCCGAGGCGTAATCGACTTGCAGGAGCGGGGGCATATCAGGGTCCCAGGTAGGATGAACAGCCCGCATATGTTGCGTATAGCCAGTCATGTTCTTCAAAGGGTAGCTCGCCCCACGGCGGCAGCCAGGAACAGGGCAGGAAAGGTCGACATCAGCTGAATCGTGATCCATAATGGCAGGGAGGTATCGATGGGATTTGCAAGAAAAATGAAACGCAGGTAGAAGCAGACGATGAGGGTGTGCTGGTGTTGATAGTCCTGGGCAGTCCCGTACACACACATATATATACGTATAGATGGTGTGCACTTCCAAGTTGCGAAGCTAGCGCATAACATCGGGGCTTACGGGGACCAAGAACGGTGTCGTGGGGCTTTGCAAGGTCCGAGGATAAAGTGCGGCCTTGTCGGGTATTGCGAGGACGAATCCGATAGTGTCATCAGGTCTTGCTAGGAGGAAGGGTGGCCTACTCGGGCTTTGTGAGGACGGCTAGCGGCGTCATCGGGCTTGGCAAGGTGCGAGGATAGAGGGAAGCGTGGTCAGGCTTCACTATATGCGAGGATAAAGGGTGGCGCGGTCGGGGCTTGCGAGGACAAGGAGTGTCACTGTCCGCGTTTGCGAGGATGAACGGTGTCATCGGGCTTGGCAAGGTGCGAGGATAAAGGGCGGCGCGGTCGGGTCTTGCGCGGACACGGAGCGGCACTGTCCGCTTTTGCAAGGATGAACGGCATCATCAGGTTTTAACAAGGCAGATGGCGGCATTGCGAAGCTTTTCAGGGACAGAGGGCGGTGTTGAAACCCCAGCAGAAGTTCTCCAAGAAACAAGTCCGTCAAAAACGTAAAGAGGTACAGCAGAGAGTGATGGGTAGAGATGGCAAGCAGATGTACGGTAGAAAGCGTTACGGCGATGCTATGAGAGATATCTAAGACTGGCAACCAGACAATTCCGACCACGTACTGAACATGCTAACGCCCCTCAGCCAACGCTCGTTCCCGGTTATTGGATGCTTTTTCCCCCTCGCGTCGAAGTCCTTCTGCGACATGAAGCCGCACTCCACCCAACGGAATAAGCCCCCAGCGGAATACTGCGTAATGGAGTAGCGTGATTCGTGGGGCCGAATAGTGGTGTTGGAGTGGTGAATGACGGCGGAGGGTATGAGGATAGTGGACCCAGGAGGAAATTCGATGACTAGCTGAGCTTCCCAGAGAATAATGTGCCCGCCCTCAACGGGGTCGAAGTCTCCGATAGCAGTGATGGCGCACCAGCCGGCAGGGAGGTTCTGAAAATCAGTGTGTCGGCAGGTGACTGTTTGGGGCCCGAGGTTGAACGTGATACTGCCGAAGACCGAGTTCCGGAAGTTGGGACGCAGGCGCGAGTCTTTTTCCAGCAGCGCGGACAAGGTCTCCTCATAGTACTGGTGCAATCGAGGGGCATAGGTTTTGAATGCAGCTGTGAATGCCCTGAGCAAGGTTCGGCGATAAGCATCATGGGAACACGAACCATCCCCAAAGCCGGCAACCCGTTGAATCGAACGGTTAGAGAGAAGTCCATCGATGATCCTCTGAGTTTCTTTCGAGATGGAGCCGTTGCATGGCACCTACAAACAATGTAAGCCAATTTGCTTTAACATTAGCCGATGACCCTCACCTTTTGTCCGCCGCCATAGGAAATCCCACTTGCCAATGGCGTGAAAACCCCCCGGCGGTGCGTAGGCGGTTCATTCGATCCCGAGCCTCTCAACCCTTCACGCGCCCCATCCAGAGCCGTCTGTATATCCCTCTGCACCTCTGACCAATCCTCTGATTTCGGACGCCCAACCAACACAGCAAATACGCGGTCCTCACAATCGAGAAGCGGCATGGTCGTTCTAACAAGCACAGTGAATGAGCCACCATCCACCACACTCGCCGGCAAATGAACGAACACTCCGTCCCACTTCACGTAGCGAAACCTTTTCTCCAACATTTCTTCCTTGCTCAAAGGGACATCCCGGGGTGGGTCGGCGTCCTTAGCATGAGTCTTAGTCGGAGGGCGGCGCCCTACGAAGCCCGTGGAAGACACAGGAACGTCTGCGAGGGAGCTCTCTGCACCAGCCTGAGATGGCTTAGACGTATTCACATGGAGTGTCGCAGCCATGGGCTCTGCGCGTTGCATGTGCTTGAATGCCGCCTTCTTAACGATGCGGCTGCTGCTGCTCGCCCGCTCTGCATCCTTCAACCTTTCGGCCCTCCGCCTGTGCTTTGATCGTTCCTTCGACCGCTGCTTCTCCACAGAGCCGCGGGCTCTCGCTGGCGGCTCTTGCGATGATGTCGAAGAAGCAGGAGCACTCGAAGAGCACCCTTGTCAGCGCGAGGATAGGTTAGCGGTGAGATACTGCATTTATGCAGTTTGAAGCATACCTGAGGACGCTGAAAAGGCGTCTACATAGTCATTTTCCAAGCCGCTGGGCAGGGCGGACGATGCGTAGCTGTCTTTGTTGCTGGCGGGTGCTACTGGCCAGGAGTTCGAGTGCATGACTTGCGGAGATGGTGTGGGGTATGAAAGCCCAGGCTGAGCTTCCTCGATAGCCGTTGTTGCGCAGTTACGAGAGTCCTTCTCGAGATGGTGCTGAACGTTACCCTCCCTGGGCTCGACTGCACATGAGGGCATGATGTCTTCGACGTTGTGCAGCACCTCAACGTCGTCGGAGTAGTCGTCGCACTGCGCAGCAGTCACGGCCTTGGTTGCAGCAGTCTCAAACAGGAGGGGAAGGTCAAGCTCGTGCGATGCCTTCACGCACTCCTTCACGCTGAGAACCCACGGGGAGAAATTTGTCCCACGACGAGTCTGACAGGAGGACTAGTCAAAAAACAATCACATAATAACCAATTGCATATGCACGCACGCTGCGAAATACATCCATAACGCTAAGGTGTCCACTGTAATAAGAGTTGTTAGCGATGCACCTAACATACAGGACCTCCACCGTGATCGTCAACCGGGTTCCTGAGGTAGGATCCGACGCATCTTCGACCACGGCTGGAGGGCAGAGATAGAAACTTACCAAAATTCGCGAGCTCGCTCGCGCTACCACCGTCTTGCGCGCAGACGGGATCCGATCGACAGGGGGAGTGGTACTATACGAGCGATGGGAAGCGACGGTGGCTAATATATAGCAGGAGGCTGTGGGCGCCAAACAGCAACCCTTCCCGCTCGGCTAGATCCGCCGCCACTCCCTCACTAGAACCAACGGAGCCACTTGTCCGATCGCACTTCTCACCCCATGAAGCAGACTAGCATGTATCCCTGGTGTGCCGCCCCCATTCTGGGTAGCACCAGGCCCGCCAAATTCCCATTCCGCGGCACGCGAGCCCCCTCTGTTCCCATGAACATGCGCGACGCTTTCACGGCACACTTCAAATGTGTGCGCGGGGCCTTGTGGGATGCTAAAACCTGATTGGGAACATGTCGGCGGCCGCTTTATGGGGCTGCGCGACCGTTCTCGCGACGATGACTTTCTCAGCCACCTCCTCGTCGAGAAGCTCGGCACCGGCGACGTGCCTCTTCTCGTCCACAAGATGAACCCCTCTAGACGACTCCCAAATAACGCCACTGAGCAGCTCCTCCAGATTGTGAGACGCGTGAGTGAGCTTTTCCCCTCCAACTGTCGTGCCCTCTGATCGTGCATGCCATATATCTTTCATCGCCCTCTCGTGCTCGCCCCGCGCAGCCAGTAATCTTCCCCAAGTTTTGCGCCATGACGTGGGCACGTACCAATGACCAGACAAGTATAGTACGACACTCCGGTCCCTCAATACGCGATTTAGACGTCCTAGGACTGCTGCAAGCGGCTCAAGGCTCGACTTGTCTCCCGCGGCTGGTTCCGGCTCCCCCGCCGCCTCCTTTGCGACTCCACACACACCCAGCCAGCCTCAAACACCTCCGAAGGCCGTCCTTCGACCACGGATCGTGCGAACGACCTGATACAATGTATGTAGGCTTTTCGGTCTTCGAATACAGCGACGCGTACGCGCAGGATTACCTAGTACCGCGTGCGCGAACTCGTAGCACACTTCCCCGTTTAATCAGACCACCACCATGTCTTCAGCACCACCTCCGAATTCGCCTGTGAGCAACAATGAGAAGTCGGACAACACCGCGCCCTCCGCATCAACTTCAGGAGCCCAAAGTGTGTCCATGGACGGGACTTCAGCACGGCCCGCGGAGGAGACATCCCGGAGGACATTATGACGCTCTCCTCAGACGAAATCCTCACGAGGATACGCCTGATTGACAACGACCTCAAAGTGCGTGACACACAAAGGCGCAAGTTCCAAAGGATCTGTTTAACAGAGTTGTGGTCCAATAGGTCATGCGCTCGGAAATGCTGCGTCTGCAGCACGAGCAGAATGTCATGAAGGAGAAGATTCGCAAGAATGGGGAGAAGATTAAGCAGAACAAGGTTCTGCCATACCTAGTCGGGAATGTCGTCGAGGTGCGTTCACCTGTTCTTTTGGTGGCCCGTCCGTGCACTAAGTGTTAGTAGATTCTGGACGTCGACCCGGAGGGCGAAGAAGATGGCGGCAACCGCGACCTGGATTCCATGCGGAAGGGCAAGTGCGCGGTTATCAAGACTTCAACACGACAAACCGTCTTCCTCCCTATGATTGGCCTCGTCCCCGCCAACAAGCTCAAGCCCGGAGACCTCGTCGGCGTCAACAAGGATTCGTACCTTGTGCTTGACACCCTTTCCGCCGAATTCGACTGCCGTGTGAAGGCCATGGAGGTGGACGAGCGGCCGACAGAGACGTACACCGACATCGGTGGCCTGGAGAAGCAGATCGAGGAGCTCGTAGAGACTATCGTCCTGCCTATGGAGCAAGCGGACAAATTCAAGACCCTAGGCATCAAGCCACCAAAGGGTTGCTTGATGTACGGCCCTCCAGGTAAGTCATCCTGTTATACAATTACTCAAAGACTCACCTGCTACTAGGTACCGGTAAGACGCTCATGGCCCGAGCATGTGCCGCACAAACGAAGGCGTGCTACCTCAAGCTCGCTGGTCCTTCACTCGTCCAAATATTCATTGGTGACGGCGCGAAACTCGTTCGCGACGCGTTCGAGCTCGCGAAGGAGAAGGCACAAGCCATCATCTTCATTGACGTATTGGACGCCATTGGCACGAAGCGGTTCGACTCCGAGAAGAGCGGTGATCGTGAAGTACAGCGGACAATGCTCGAACTTTTGAACCAACTGAGCGACGAGCGAATCAAGGTGCGTCGCCTTACGTGTCCGGCGCGAGCTCCGGTGTTCTTACTGGCGGCCTATCTCTATTACTTTCCTAACAGGTCATCGCTGCCACCAATCGTATCGACATCCTCGACCCCGCGCTCCTTCGATCAGGGCGTCTTGACAGGAAGATCGAATTTCCTCTGCCCAACGAAACCGCGCGCGCCCGCATCTTGGATATCCACTCGCGAAAGATGACGGTCGCGTCGGACATGAACTTCGAGGAGCTCGCGTGCAGTACCGACGAGTTCAACGGTGCCCACTGGTAGTATGTGATACAAAAACGCGTTCTGAACACACTCAGTGCGACGGACTTATTTTGCACTCCCTAGCTGTTGATTCGCCGCCGATTCGCCGCCGAAACTGCCAGTGACGTAGTCGTCCCACCCTGGACGGCGCAAGGTCTGACTTAAGTTTGAGTCACTCACGGAACTATGACGCGAGCCTCTCCGCGGTCATATGTTGCTCTCATTTTCTCTGTGTACTGTCCACTGCGTTGCCAAACTGAATGTAGTATTTTTGCGCACCCCAGAACAGCTGTCCGGTGCGTCACAACTTCCAAGATATGTGTATATGCAACAAAGCTACAGTCCTAGATCCAAAACAACGATGTTCCGACGACTCCTCAACATACTGCAGACTTCTCTCACCAACCCTAAACAAACGCAAAGTGAGACAAGGTTAAAGAAGGAGAATGGACATGACCGGATGGGTACCGTACCCCTAAGACATATTTGGTTCCAAAACAGAAACCGTGAGGCGATAGAGACGGATAAGCGGCAAGCGTTGTAGTGTGGAGGAAGTGTTCAGTGAGCCAGGACGTGAGGAAAAGTTTCTGGATGGTGAAGTGCTCGAGGACGCTAGTACTGGACCCTTTGAGTCGAAACGTTTCGTTGGACTCCGTAGCTCTCATCTTCGGGATTTCGAGCAGCTTGAGCCGCGGGCACAGCGCGATGATGTCGTCGATGAGGTTGATGTCGGGGACCAAGTTCCTCTCCACCGCAGTCACCACAATCTGCAGACTCGTGAGCCCCTTCCACGCCCGAGCCAGTGTGAGGATCTCCTCTGCGCTGACGATGAAGAGGTGGTTCGGGAAATAGAGTGTGACGTCTTCAAGCAAGGGAAGAGAAAGCAGGGGTTTGATGGCGCCAGACAACGACATGTCACGGCGCATGAAGTAGACCGAACGCGAGCTCAGGTCCACGCGGCGAAGCTTCTCCTTAGGAAAGTATGCGAGCGCGCTGAGGGTTTGGGCGAGGCCACCCATGCCGGAGAAGGAGTTGAGACCAATAGTCGCCAGCTGCAGCTTCTGGCCGGCGACCGCTACATTGTGAACGACGCAAACGAATCCTATCAGCGGTGCATGATTTGAGAAAAACGGGCGACGTACCAGCATTCCGTGGCGGGCTTAATTCCTGATGATGCAAGAGCGTGAAGTACGTGTTGGCCGACATGCCATCGGGCAGCGGGCCGTATTCCTGGACTTCCAAGTTCAACGTCTTGAGCTTAGGGGAAGTGATGGCGGCTTTGTCGTAAATGCGTTTGCACCACTCGCTGAACTCCTTCTCCGCATTGTCGACTGCGTCGTAGTCGGGCACATTGATAGTGAGCGTGCGAAGGCGACGTCCAAGGTACCACAAGAGCTCGTCGTAAGCTCTATCGCCACAGTCCCACCAGATGTCCTCGACGGAGGGGAAAATGGCGGTATTGTCGTCGATGAGGGTCGTCAGGAACGGAATGATGCCGGGCACAGTCAGGTAGGAGTTGATGCGGAGGCATTTGACGAATGAGGCATAGAACAGAAATCTCTTCCAGTTTGGGCTCGCCACGAGCTCTCTACCGGCCTCTTCTAGCGAACTGATCCACATATGTTAAAGTTTAGTATACCGTATTTAGTTGACGAACGTACCTCGCGCGGGCCAGGCATACGGGCTGCAGGAGTTTGTAAAGCGGCTTGAGCGAGGAGAGATTAAGCCAGACAAGCGGGACGGCATAGTAATAGAACGCCCGGTTGACTCGCATCATCTGGACGGCGTCCTGCTGGATAAACCACTCGTGCCATTCCGTCTTCATAGACTCGAAGATCAGGAAGACGAGGTCATCGCAGCCGAAGAACGTGGCGCAGGCCGTGTCGGTGGCAGAGGGGACAGTGCGAACCCGGGGGGCACGGAATGGCGTGATGGAGCAGAGCTCGCGCCGCGGGTTCAATTTTTTGTCCCCGCAGATGGGGACAACGGTGAAGCCAGCTCCGCGGCTAGGAATGCTAGGGTGGGCTTAGATCAAAAATGATACCGCAGAGAACTGATGAGAGAGACATACAGCTTTTCGAGGTCCGTGAGCATTTTGCGGCGGGCGACGGGGGCTGGGAGCAGTGGGGGTGGATGGTGGTTTGAAGTCAAGTGCGTGGGAGGGTTGATGACCTAGATATATGTGCGCTTGCCCCAGAGAGTGCGATCAAATCTGAGAACGGCGTTTTGGGGAGCGCTCGTGCAGTCAGTATAAAGCGACAAACGAACCTAAACACCTAAATTTTTCCTCGCCCTTCTCCCCCACCCCATCAAACACGTACTGCTCCCCTCCTGTCCGATAATCCCTCCCACCTGAACCCCCAGTAGTTCCTCATCTTACGGAGGGCGCAGGATGGTCGGTACTCGTCCTGAAAACGTGGGGAAGCGGCCCGGGAAGGTTGTGGCACCAAAACCTAAACATAAGACCGAGGAGGTGACAGCCACCAAGGAAGCCGCTCAAGCAGCGAAAAAGGGTAAAGCCGCAGCGAAGAAGAAGAAGCTTGAGGAGCTAGCCAATATGGAGGTTGAGATGCAGGAGGAGGAGAATGCCTCGCGCGCTCGCCGTTCTCAGCGGTTGAAGCCGAGCGCGGACTCCGGCTCCGTCAAGGGCACAGTGCCCAACAAGGTACGTCGCTACACATATTCAGTGTCCTGCAGTCTGGAGATAAGTGCGATCAGAAACGGCGTAGGCCGCGTTCCCCGACGCCGCCGGAGACGTACACGAACGATGAGGAAGAGCCCACTATGGAGGTAGATCCTTCTGCGGACACGTCAAACGTTGAGGAGAGCGACGGCGAAAATGTAGAGCGTTCAGACTCTGCATCTCAGTACGAAGAGGAAGCAGAGGACGGGGACGGGGACGGGGACTCTGATGAAGATGGCGAGGCTGACGAGGACGTTGACGAAACCCCGAGACCACCCCAGAAGAAGGCAAAGACGGACAGTAGGGTGAAGGAACCAACCGGTAAGGACAAGCTGCGTAAGAGCGTGCTGGCCGAGAAGGCAAGCATGGCGAAGACGAGCTCTGCGAAACCCAAGACGGTCTCAGCGGCAGAGCCCAAGGCGTCGAAGTCAGCGCCTAGCAAGGACACTGCCACCGCGAAGTAAGTACGCCGATCTCTCTTGATCTCTGCGATCTACCTCTCCCCTTCGCCAACATCATGATCGGCTTATCGCTTTCCATCGATGCCAGGACAAGGCCGCCCTCGCGCACTCTGTCTACTCCCGTCTCCCCGTACATCGGAGGGAATGTGAAGGCGGCTGAAAAGCCTAAGCCCAAGCCCAAGCCCAAGCCGAGGGCGGTGAAGCCGAAGGTGGCGGCTCCACAGCAGGATGACGATGAGGTCTGGATCATCGAGAAGTCGGCCGGCAACAGCAAGGTGAAGCAGGAGGAGAACTCCGATGTGGAGATGGAAAGTGGGGGGTACGTTCTGACTGAGGATGAGGGTAAGGAGGCCGAGGCTGCCAAGAACAGCCCCGTCAAGAACGGTGTCAGGTTGACGAGCCAGGTGAGTTATATTCTCCTCGCGATGACTATACAGCCTCCATTCTGATGTGAAATATAGGCTCTTGTCAATGTGGCGACCATTGACCTCACCACGCCCAAACTGGTTCACAAAGTTGCAAGGGCTGGAGTCAATATGCCGAAGGACAAGATTCGAAGGAGCGTCTCGGGCTCCTCGAGCGGCTCTGTGAGTATTGTGACTTTTGAAAGCCCCTCCGTGTGTATGCTCACAATACCTAGCGCGTTGAGAACGACGAATCCGAATCCGATGACGATGACGCTGCTCCATCTTCAGGTGTAGGAAGGGCGAGCCGTCCCACACCTAAGAACTCACACCTTCCCGCGGGCGCGATGGACAACAACGACTGGAAGAGGCTCTTCATTCCTACATTCCTGCGCAACCTCGGCACTCGTTCAAACTGTTGGCATATCCCTGACGCGACGTTGATCAATCTCCTGCAGAGCATCTGGGATGCCGTCTATGGTGTCCGCATCCCGCACAAGGTTGAGGCGGGCGACATCGTCATTGCTCTCGTGAGTGATTACGTCGCTTATTACTCATTCTCAAACTTACATCGATTGGGTGATAGGCCACACAGAGGATGTACGAGTGGCGGGCCAGCTTCGGAAGCGGGGCCCTTCGCACGTTTGAAACGTTCTTTAGGAACAACCCCGACAAATATTCCGCTCACGAAGCGCGTAGTGCCTATTGCGCAGACATCTTGGAAGACTGTCGCCTGTTCTACGAGAACCCGGAGAAGAACGATCAGACTGTACGTCCCATGCGAGAGCTTCTTCTAAAAGCCACGACTGACTATGCTGGTTCCTATAGGGCCTCTATCAGTCCGTCTTCGTGCGCTCGTGCCTTGCGATACACATGGACGCTATTCAGGGCGCCATTGATGTTCCGGGAATGTACCAGTCCGACGAAGACATGTACCCGTATGGTGCGATAGGTCTTTCGGCCTCAGCGGTGAGTTTCATTGCGCCCACTACACATTACTGCGGATGAAGTTCTCTTACGTGTCTACTTGGTATTCCAGACCTTTCGTGCGGCCACGCTGTGGAAGCTGCTGAGGGTAAAGTACGACAAGGAAAACCGGCCCGTCCCAAAGCGGGCGATCAATCCGGTAACCGGTAAAAACAGTATCAAAGACGTCGAGTTCGGCATAGTGAACTACGGGGCTAAGACCGCCGGCGCCGCCACTTCTGCGCGTGCCCTGTCCTTCCAGAGTCTCGACACCGTTGTTCGTCTCGCGCTCGAGATCTCCCAGGTGCCCCCCGCATCGTCTTCTGGGAGTGCGCCACCAGAGAAGAAGAAGAAGACCGGTGATATGGACTTTGCGCTCCTCGTCGAGGCGCGGGCCTAGGTCAGTGAGGGAATCTGAGCACTCGCCGGTACGTCTCGTTAACGCGTATTACTACAGCTAGGCATATCATTGCACAACATGTTCCTCGACTTGTTCCGCGACTTCTGTGAGTAGAACGTCTCTTTGTTTTGTGAGGTACTGATAAGTCGAGCCACGCAGCGCTATCTTGAGCCCTGTACATGTCACACCGCCGCGTCTTCAACGACTCATGCGGATAGGCCCGGGTCTTCAACGGCTCCATGCCTGCCATTTCGGCCTTGTCCTCGTTGCCGTCTCGTCTACGTCACCGTGTCATCTTCGTCACCGCGCTATCTTCGTCACCGCGCTATCTTCGTCGCCGCGTCATCCTCGTCGTCGTGTTCTCCTCGTCGCCGTGTCATCATCTTGGTCACCACCTCGCCCTCATTCCTGTTCGTCAGAGTCACCGCTCGCTATTGCCATCACTTCCTATCACTACCGCTCGCCATTTCTGTCGCCCTCCACGGTCAGCATTCACCATCACAAGAGATATATCTTCATTTGTGTAAGTGTACTTACACTTTCAATGGTTAGTCACGCTCTGAAAGATGTCCATCTGCCAGATTCGACACGTTCACCTAGTATATAGACATTTCGGGTCGTGTGGTTCCGGTTGGCAGCCCACATCTATAGTATTTGTTCGTTTAATGTGCAATGCTCATCTTGTTATTGTCTTCTCTTTCAGGTTTAGAGCGCCACTACAAGCGGCTTTGACGTCTCGCCCGATCGTTGCATTCCGGTGCAACTCGTCTCTCTCTCCGCCATTTTCCGTCATGCCATCGTATTTTGCTGACCCGGTCTCTGTCTTGGATGCGCCACCACACGCTCTAGGGTTCTTCCCTCACCTCCACGCACCGTACCCCGCCTGCAGCTCTGCGCGCCCTGTTGAAGTTGTGCCGCCATGGCCACTCCTAGCTGCGCCCTTGCGGCGCTCTCCTTATTGTGCCTTTACGTCTTCCTACAAGCTAGTACAGCTCTCGTCGATGTTCCTTTGCATACCCTGCAACATCATTCGGCAGCCTATCGTGCATTGTAAGGTATGTACCGCTCTCTTTCTTCGCATCATGAACCCGGCGCGTCATGTACGCTCATTTGACACCATGTGCGTGTATTTGTATTCATTTAGGTGTATTTGCGTTCAGTTATCCCACTAGTACACCCAGACGCTCATTTCTGTACACGTATGCCGCTCATGTGATGTTCATTTAAAGTCTTGCCACGCCTTTCCGCGCCTTTGCCCGCCTTTCCGCGCCTTTCCGCGCCTTTCCGCTCTCATTTCTGTACGCGTATGTCGCCCCTGCAATGTTCATTTAAAGTCCTTGCCACGCATTTCCGCTCTCATTTCCGCATTGCCAGCCCAGGACACTCCAAATCTATTAGAAAGAATCAAATTTATTAGGCTTCTGAGGCATCATTTGAGGTCCTTATTTCCGCCTTTCAGGTTCTGATTGATTCTGGATTGTCCTGACAAAGCTGCCAAATGACGGTAAGGCGATATAAGGCTACATAAAGTGGAAGGGTGGGCCTCCGTTGAAAGAGACTGCATTTTGGCATGATCACTCCTTATCGCATTTTACGTCCTGATAAAGCGGCCAAAGGCCGCGAATGAGAATGGGGAAAATGCTGATGTGCAGTCGGGTACGCTGACCACGAGATTCAGCAACTCGGACGGTGGCGTAGCGACGCGTACAAGCTCTATATCGACGTCCCGCGAGACCGCATCCTTCATCTTTCCACACGCCTACATTGGGCCGATCCTACTCAGCCTTTCGAGCCTCCGGCTCTCCCCTTCGTCCCCTCCTTGGCTTGAGCTCGGCCCGGCTTCGAGTCGCACCATCAGCGCGACTCGCCGGCGTCCTGCGAGAGAGCGGTGGCGACACGAATGCAACCTCGCCTTCGTTCTGCCAAACTCGAGTGCGCACGCAAAGATGAATACGACAACTTGTTGTCGTGGGTCTATGCGTAGCGCTCGAGTTTCAGCGCCTCCAGCCGAGCGCTAGCTCGGCGTCCATAAAGCTCTTTCTCCTCGTCGTCGACAATGCTCGTGCGCGCACCGCGCGCGGACGCGCATGAACGCGTTTTTCTCTGTTTTCTTTGTCTCGGTTCACTATGATATATAGACCTCACCCTCACTGTTCTCTCTTCATCTCCTCTCTCACCCGTGTGCTCGAAAGGTAGCTACCTACTGTATCCCCGTCCATCTCCTCTCTCACCCGTGTGCTCGAAAGTCCCGTCGACTTCGAGTGCTTCCTGTTTTTGCACCCACCCTTCCGCTATCCCTACATATGGTTCTTTATTGTTGCTACGTCTTCATGTATGTACATTCGCCTCCGCCGGCTTGAGCTCGGCCCGGCTTCGAGTCGCACCATCCAGCGCGACTCGCCGGCGTCCTGCG